AGGGCAGGCACAGAGTTTCTGCGGCTCAGTGTGTGGCAAAGTTTTTTTTTTTTTCTTTTTCCCCCATTTTCTTAAGTAAAAAGTGCATGAAAGCTCGGCAGCCTCTTTGCAATGGTCAGCAGTGTTTCCTCAGGGATGGGGGTGGCGGGGAGGGGACCCCCCCAGGCCCGGCACCCCAGCTTGCGCCTGAAGGTGGCCTCGTATTGCTTAAAAACGTGTCTCAGTTTAAATACCAGACTAAAAATAGAGCTCGGAGGACCACCCTCGCGGTTGCCAAGTCATTGCCAGAATGAACAGCTTCAATAAATAAAAAATCGAAATATTTACTTCTCGATAAAAATCGCAGTAAAACCATTTACCTTTCTTTGCATTATATATAATATATATTTATAGTGGGCCCGGCTGCTGGCGGCCCAGCCGAGGGCAGCGGAGGGCTCGGGGGCGCTGGGTCCCCACGGAGGGGCCGTTCCTGGCCGCCGTCAGGACACCTCGATGACCTCCACGCTGCCCGAGAAGCTGGCCTGCTTGCCCAGGGCGGCCAGCTCCTCGCCGCGGGCACGCCCCTCCACCATGCCCTCCTCGAACTCCATCTGGCAGCTTCGACGCTTAAACTGCGTCTCTGGGGCTGGCTCGTCGGGCCAGCTGGTCCGCGGGTCCCGGGACTCGGCTCTGGCCGCCTCCCTGCGCCGCAAGTCGCCACCACCGTTGCCCTGCGCGCCTCCCAGGCCGAGGGGCGCAAACCGAACGCCCTGTGCGCCCTCGGGGCTGAAGCACCAGAGCCCATCGGGCGACGGTGTGCCGGGGGAGTCCAGGGGAGGTGCCCAGCCCCCGGGGCTGGACGGCTGGCCTGGGCCAGGGAGCCCGGGCGCCGACAGGGCAGAGAGGCCATGCCGTGGAGTCTGCCGGGCGGAGTCCCCGAAGTTTAGGCCGAGGCCATGCGCTGGGGAGCGCGCTGGGGAGCCTGCTGGAGGCCGGAGCCGCCGGCGGGGCCGCGGACGCGCCTCGGGCGCTGCATCTGGGCTGTCGGGGCTGGGCGAGGGCAGGCCTAGTGCGGCCCCTGACGGGCTGTCCAGCTTGCAGAGCTTGGGGGCCTCCCCGGGGTCAGGGGGCCCGGGGTCCTCCGGCCGCCGGCTGGGGGCGTAGGCCGACTTGATGTCCAGCGAGAAGGAGCGCTTGAGGCGGTTGGTGTCCTGGAGGCGGTCGGAGGAGAGGTGCAGGCCGTGCAGGCCCTGCTGCAGGGCGCTGGTGGCCGGGGCCGGGGCGGGCGACGGGGGCTCCCTGCCCGCGCTCGGCTTGCCCTCCCTGGCTGAGTTGGCCGCTGCGCTCCCGGTGGCAGCGCTCTCTGAGGTAGGTGGTGGCAGTGGCGGCAGTGGGGCCGCGGGGCCCGGGAGGTGCTCGGGCGTCCCCGGGAGGGGCGCCCCCTCGCCATGCAGGGCGGCCAGCAGCTTCAGGCTTCGCTCATACTCCAGCAGCTGGCCCAGGAAGTTGAAGTTGGGCGAAATGGACGGGCGCCGGTCCTTCACAAACCTGGGGCGAGAGGCGGCTGGGTGGCCACAGGGCTTCCCACCAGGCCAGGCTGCCCACCCGCCTCTCCCCTGCACCCACTGCCCACTCCTGGGCACCCAGGCTTCTGCGCAGACCCGCATGTGCTGGGGCTGGATCCAGGCCTCCCCCTCCCCTTCCCCAGCCAGGGGGTCCTGAACCGCGGGCCGCTCTGATGCCACTAGGTAGAGAGCGGAGGAGAGGGGGCGGTTTCCAGCCTCAGAAGGGAAGCCTGGCAGGCTACCTGTAGGCGTCGTCCGAGGACATGCCCATGGTCTTCATGATGTAGGCGATGGCGATAGTGGCAGAGCGGGAGATGCCAGCCAGACAGTGGACAATGACTTGGCAGCTGGACAGCTTGGCTTTATCTGGGGGCAGGGGGACCAGGTGAGTGCTGGGGTTTCCACTCCTCCCTTCCCCCAGGTGGGGAACTGCGACCCTCCCTCAGAACTGCTAATAATCCCAGCTGCTTGTTGGGGAACAGCCCCTCCCACCTGAGCACCCGCCCCTCCTCCCGCCCTCCCCCAGGAGTGGGGGGCCAGGCCCCTCACCGATGAACTCGATGGACTTGTCCAGCCAGGGCAGCAGCTTTTCACAGTAGTTGTCGTTGATGGGGATGCGCATGAAGCGGCTCTCGCAGATGAAGTCGGGCTTGGGGCAGGAGTTGCTGGCGTTGAGGACGTAGCTTATTCCGTTGCGGGTCATCAGGTCCTGCAGGGACAGCAGGTCAGGTTGGAAGGGGCTGCAGCTGGGCAGGCCCTTGAGGGCCCAGATCCCGGAGCCTCAGAAGCTGTGGGGGGCGGGGCTGGGTCCTGGAGCCCCACCTGCCGGTCCCGGGATTTTAGGGCTGCCTGGGCGGTGGCTTTACCCTCTTTCCCCGTCACCATTTTTAAAACACGGGGTTCTTTCAGCGCTGGCCCGGGGCCCAGTGACATCAGCAGTTTGGCATGTGGGCTCTGCCGCCGAGGGGGCAGGGAGCTGCTTCTCCACCCCGGCCTGCTGGGCCCTTCCCCCAGCCGGGCTCTGGTCCTGCCAGGCCCCCTCTGGTCCTCCAGTGCCCCCAGCCGGCGCTCATCCACCCCCCCCACACACAGGCCATGGGCTCCTTTCCAGCCCCAGACAAGCCCAGGAGCTGCTTCTGGGCT